GGCGCCCCTGCCTGCCCAGCCCCACACGTCGCTCATCCCCTTCCTCCCCATCCGCAGGGCTCACAGGGTTTCCCGGGATTCCCGGGCCGCAACGGCGAGAAGGGCGCTCGGGTGAGTGACCGCGGCCCGCCCGGCTCGGCGTCCCCACCATGGGGACAGTCACCGTCCCCAGGGAGCTCAGGGTAGGAGATTGTCACCCCACTGCGCCTGTCTGAGCTGTTGTCTCTTGTAGGGTCTGTCGGGCAAATCGGGGCCCAGAGGCGAGCGTGGTCCCACGGTGAGTGCGGGGTGAGAAGGATGGGGGGCTCCGTCCCTTCCCGCAGCCCTAACTCCTCACCAGGGCCCCCCTCGGTGAAGGGGGGACAGGGGGTCTCATGGGCGGTCCATGACCCACCTCCGTCTCCATCCTCAGGGTCCCAGGGGCCAGCGCGGGCCACGAGGAGCCACCGGAAAGTCGGGGGCCAAGGTCAGTGATGGGGAGAGGACGCGGCGCGTTGGAGCGCTCTCGCGCACGGCGCCCATGAGCCCTCATGGCGCTACTAAACTCCCCCCTCGCTCTTTCCTTGCTGCCACAGGGCACGTCTGGCAGCGACGGCCCCCACGGCCCCCCCGGCGAGAGGGGAAGTGGGGCGCCCACGTTGCTACCGCGATGCCCAACGCGAGCTGCTTCGTGCCCGTTGACACCCGAAATCCCAGCGGTTTTGGGCCGGGTGCCTTGCCCTGCTAACGGGCTCTGAGCAAATCAGTGCTGCCCGAAAGGGTGCGAGTGCCCCCTGTGACGCCCGTCCTGCCATAACCGCCCTGCTCTGCTCCATTCTAGGGCCTGCCAGGACCACAAGGGCCCAATGGTTTCCCAGGCCCCAAAGGGCCTCCTGTAAGTAGCGGAGTCCCCTATCCGTCCCATCGCACCGGGTGCCCCCGGCACTGCTCAGCTTCTGCTCCTCTGCCTCCAGGGTCCCCCCGGCAAGGACGGGCTCCCCGGGCACCCCGGGCAGCGAGGAGAAGTCGTAAGTGTCCCCACGCGACCCGGTTATCTCTGTTGATGCCTGTGCGGCCCCTTTCCCTCGAGTCGCTCTCCTGTCCCCTCTATCCTGTGTCTCGTTCACTCCCGAAACACCTGAGCTTCATCCTTCCTCCTGCCCCGGTTCATCTTTGGGTACTTGTTGCTCTCCCTCCTACACACTGGATCCTCCTTGGTTACTCTGGACCCTCCTCTGTTACTCTAGACCCTCCTCGTCTTAGTCTGAAATTGCTCCTCATGCTGAGCCCCCTTCTCTCCTCTCTTGCAGGGTTTCCAAGGCAAGACCGGCCCTCCGGGTCCACCGGGGGTGGTGGGGCCTCAGGTGAGTCATGGGCTCCGCCGCACGTGGGCCGGATGCCCGTTTTCCCAGGCAGTCACGCTGATTCTCTCTGCTCTCCCCATGCACTAGGGACCTGCCGGCGAATCTGGCCCCATGGGGGAGAGAGGCCATCCGGGACCCCCTGGCCCCCCGGGAGAACAGGGGCTGCCAGGACCATCTGGAAAAGAGGGCACCAAGGTGAGGAGGTGGAGGGCAGCTGGGGCGGCACAGTCACGACCCCAAGGAATGAATTTGGGTGTCGGGGTGTGGGGCTGCCTCTCATCTCACTCTCTCCCTCCTTAGGGAGATCCCGGTCCCACCGGCTCCCCCGGGAAGGACGGTCCCGCCGGCTTGCGGGGATTCCCCGGTGAGCGGGGCCTGCCGGGCACCCCGGTGAGTAAAATCCACCCTCTGTGTGACCAGACCTCCCCAGTGTCCCCCGGTACAACAAGGCACTGACCCCCCCCTTCTTCTCACCCTCCCACAGGGTGGCCCAGGGCTGAAGGGCAACGAAGGACCAGCCGGACCCCCAGGACCTGCAGTGAGTGTCACCCCCTCTGCGCTCCCTATCATGACGCCGCGATTCCCCTTGGTTAATCCTCCTTCTCACGTCCCCCCAGGGCTCCCCCGGAGAGAGAGGTGGCCCCGGACAAGGTGGCCCTGTGGGTCCCCCCGGGCGACCGGGCCCGCAAGGGCCACCGGGCCCTGCTGGAGAGAAAGGAGTTCCTGTGAGTAGCTGGAAGGGGACGTGGTGGGTGGGTGCCAGTGGAGTTGGGTCCTCACCCCGCTTTGGACCCCAAGACGCAACAGGATGCGGATGGTCCCCTGCATCCCTGACCAACCCCTTCCCTCTCCCTGCAGGGTGAGAAAGGCCCCATGGGCCCTGCCGGCCGCGACGGCGTTCAGGGCCCCGTGGGTCTCCCCGGCCCCGCCGGCCCTCCCGGCGGCCCTGGGGAGGACGGTGACAAGGTGAGGCCCCGCCGCGGCCGTCCCCGTGCTGCCACCCCCCATCCCGGCCGCACTTAACCCCCCGTTTCTCCTCCCCGCAGGGCGAGGTGGGAGAGCCAGGCCAGAAGGGCAGCAAGGGCAACAAGGGCGAGCACGTGAGTATGGCCGATGGCCGCATTGGTCCCCCTGTTGTCCCAGGGTCATCCCAGCCTTGCTCACCCCTTCTCTTCCTCGCAGGGTCCTCCCGGTCCTCCCGGGCCCATCGGGCCAGTGGGGCAGCCCGGAGCGGCCGTAAGTACCCGGCGGGCAGGGACGCCACCTGCTGTCCCCCCCTGCATGGGGTCACTCGGCGTGGCAAGGTGGCAGGGTTGGGGACACAACGCGGGATGGGGTGCTCGTCGCCCCTGGGTGCAGGGCAGGGGGAGCGAGGGTGGCACCAGATGAGGTCGGCCTTGGTGGGGAGAACAGCCGTTTCCTCCGGTCTCGCGGCGTCATCCTGACCCTCCTTCCTCCTTCGCAGGGCGCCGACGGGGAGCCGGGCGCCCGCGGTCCCCAGGGGCACTTCGGAGCCAAGGGCGACGAGGGGACGCGGGGCTTCAACGGGCCTCCCGGCCCCATCGGGCTCCAGGTGAGCAGGGCAGAACCCACCCCGGAGATGGCGAGCGGGGTCCTGAGTGCCACCCACCCTGTCCCCAATTCTGTGTGTGGGTTACGTGACCAGTGGGGAGCACCTCTCATGTACCCCCATGCTCAACTGCATCTCCCACCCGTTGGATCCAGACATGATCGGACACACCGGGACCATCCAGCTCCCCCTTGGTCTAAGCCCTCGTCGCTGTCCGTCCCCTCCTCCCTGGCGGCCCGTCTCCGCCCCTCCCCCGTGCCCCGATGCCAGCTGCTCCCCCCGTGTTTAATGCTCACACGCGATCTCTCTCTCGCCCCAGGGTTTACCAGGCCCAGCTGGTGAGAAGGGTGAGACGGGTGACGTGGGTCCCATGGTAAGTGACGCTGTCCCCCGCTACCGCATTCTTGTGCCCCTCTAGGTGCGTCCTCACTGAGCACATTCTCTCCACAGGGCCCTCCCGGACCTCCTGGCCCGCGCGGTCCAGCTGGAGCCTCCGGAGCAGACGTAAGCCGCCCATCGTTCCCCCCGTTGCCCCGCTGCCCTTTGCCATGGGGGGCACTGGGGTGACAAGCTCTGCTCTTCCCATCTGCAGGGACCCCAAGGACCTCCTGGAGGTATTGGTAACCTGGGGCCTCCCGGCGAGAAGGTAGGTCCGTGGATGCTGGACGCCTGGGTCCGCTCCCCGGCCGCGCCGGGGGGACAGGAGCTGCACCAGTGGGGAGCGGAGGTGGTGGGAGACCTTGGGGCAGTGACGTAGCAGGTCTCCGTAATGAGGGACTGTTCTGGAGGGCTTTGGCCCATGAACGGACAGGGTGGTGTAGGGGGGTTGACTTCTCTCTCTTCCCATTTCAGGGGGAGCCCGGTGAATCGGGGTCCCCAGGTATCCAGGGGGAGCCAGGAGTCAAGGTGAGTGACAGCAGAGACACCCCCCGTCCCAATCTGTCCCCGGCCCCACATGGAGACACCCCGACTGCGCCCTGACCCCTTTCCTTGTGCCCTGACCCCTTTCCTTGTGCTTGCAGGGCCCACGAGGAGAGCGAGGGGAGAAGGGAGAAGCTGGAGCCGCCGGAGTGGCCGGACCGCCTGGAGGGAAGGGGCCGCCTGGTGACGATGGGCCCAAGGGCAACCCCGTGAGTGCTGCAGCCCCCGGGGCCGACGCAGGGAACGTGGGGAAGGGGCTGAGTTTGTCCGTGGGAGGTGGGAAGAGAAGGAGGAAGGTGGGAGGGTGGTTGGAGCCTGGGCACCGGGGTCCCTTCATGCTAACATCTCTCTCTCTCTCTTTCAGGGTCCCGTTGGTTTTCCAGGCGATCCAGGACCCCCGGGCGAAATGGGTCCCAGGGTGAGTCCCACGTCCCACCCCTCTGGGCTGCTCCTTTAGCCTGGGGGACTGGAGTGGGTTTCCGGCAGCCTGGGGTTGGGATTCAGGGGCTCTGTGGGGCCTCCTACTGACTCCAGCTCTTCCCAACAGGGTCAAGACGGCGCCAAGGGTGAGCGTGGGGAGGACGGCGAGCCCGGCGAGCCGGTGAGTGCCCCGCTGGGTGCGCGGATCCCTTTTCAATGCTTTGGATGAGGAAGGTCCCCAGGGATGTGGAGATCAGCTCCCCCTGTCCAAGAGCCAGACCGGATCTATCCCACTGCTTCGGGAGCACCGGGAAGTGGAGAGCCCAACCCGGTTCTGGCCTCCTCCTGGAAGTCGCCGGATCTTCTTCCCCACAGCCTGGCGTAGCCCAGGGATCCCCCCATCCCTCTACGTTCTCACTGGATCCAGCTCTCCACGTTCCTCTCTGCCCTGGTTTTGGGATCGGGCCAGTTCCCCTGACTCCTTTCTCTCTCCTTCCCTAGGGCTCTCCTGGTCCGACGGGTGAGAACGGCCCTCCCGGGCCCCTGGGGAAGAGGGTAAGTGCTTGGTGAGCCCTCTTGTGCCCACCCAGCCACGTCCCTTGGCCTCACTGCCCCGTTTCTCCTCTCCGCAGGGCCCTGCTGGAACCCCTGGGCCTGAGGGGCGCCAGGGTGAGAAGGGCGCCAAGGTGAGTGACTTTGTCCCAGGGAGGTGGCCTCCTGGCTGAACCCAGCAGGGGACACAACCTTAGCGGGGTGACAAGCCCTGGGGAGGTTGGCACTGCTCCTAGCCAGGGCCCATTTGTCACTGTTCTTCACGTCTCCTGGACCGGCCTCACGCCGTTCCTCTGCATCCACAGGGAGAACCGGGCATAGTGGGTGCCCCCGGCAAGACTGGCCCCGTGGTGCCCCTGGCAAGACTGGCCCTGTGGGGCCCCAGGGACCCGCTGGGAAGCAGGGTCCCGACGGCCTCAGAGGTCTGCCCGGCTCTGTGGTAAGTGGCTACGTCCTGGTGACAAGGGGGTGCGGGTGGTGGTGGCATCTCCTCCGGTTGAAGGGAACTCACGCTCTCCGCTCACCCGCACAGGGAGAACAAGGCAAACCGGGCACCACGGGCCAGGCTGGGCCGCCAGGACCAGTGGTGAGTGCAGCCCCCTCTCCCCGCGGCGGCCCCTCAAGGCAGGACGCCCTGCTCTGTCCTCCTCACCTCTAATGATCCTGCCTCTGCCTCCCTGCAGGGTCCTCCCGGTCTCCCCGGCCTCAAAGGCGACACCGGGGCCAAAGGAGAGAAGGTGAGTGAGGAGTGGGGACACGGCAGAGGGGAGCGGGTTGGCTCCTGTACCCCCACTGAGCGCTGTCATCCTCTGGCATCCATCATGTGCCCGTTTGTCTTCTCCGCAGGGTCATCCTGGTCTCATTGGTTTGATTGGACCGCCGGGAGAGCAGGGGGAGAAGGGAGACCGGGGTCTGCCCGGCCCCCAGGGCTCCACGGGGCAGAAAGGAGAAACCCTGAGTGAGGGGCCTGGGGAACAGGAGAAACGGAGGCCGGGAGGGGAAGGGTGTGTGGCGGGTCCAGGCAGGTGGGGATGTAGAATAGGGGGTGGCAGTGGGGGGGACCAGAGGCAACTGTGGGGATGGGGGTGCCGGGGAGGCGGGAATGGGGCTGCCCATTTCCTAAATCCACTTCCCGCT